ATGTGTATCACTTTCCTCATTCTCTAACATGACATTTGTGGTCCCACAAGAATGCAGCCACGGCAAATGGACAGGCTGCTACAAGACGCAGTGTGGAGAACTTTTCTGGAAACACACCGCAAACCTCTGAACACAGACTGCTGAATCTAGTGTCAAGTTTATGGGATGGGATAGGAGACTTCAAAACACCACTGGAAATCTTTGCCAAAACACCACTGAGGTGTAAGGGTGGCTCCTGAGACACCACAACAGAAACATGGATCCCAAATCCCCTCTCATTGTAATAAAAATGGAGCCATTTCATCATGACTGATTTCGTTGTGTCATTATCAATTTATCCCATGTAAAGTGAGAGATGACCCTCAGCCCCCAGGGGGTTTAGAAAATGCTACAGGAGTGTGAGTAGCGTATCAGGGGGCTCTGAAAATACCACTAGAAGCTGTCTAGCTGTCTAGCAGAAATCCCATGACAATCACAGACCATCCTTGCAGTGAGACACAATAGCAGGACAAAGCCAGGCAGCTGAGCTGTTAGAGGATCCATGGAAGTAAGAATGCAGGAAATACCAGGCTCTCCAGCCAGTGGTCTGCCTAAGCCCATAACCTGTCTCCAACAGTGACTGTAATTCAGAAAAAAACCCAAACTCTGCAAGAGGTAATTACGCAACAAGGTACAAGAAACAAGATTTTCATGCAACCTCCTCCCAGTCACTGTCAGTTTCCAGCTGGCTCCTCTGCAGAGCAAATCCCACCCCAGACTTGACTGTACCTTTAGAAACCAGGATTTCCTTGTGATCTGCCTGAAACAGCCCATCTCTTTCTGTATCCTTCCAAGATCACAGCCTCATCAAAGCATTGCGCTGCAGAGTTTCATCACTAACAGTGCACTGGGCTGAAATAAAAAACCAAAAAAAGTATTTTTTTCTACCAGTGCTGAGTTACTGCTAATTCAATTTCAGTGGCTGCCAATCATTGATTTCTAGAGAGGCCCATGAAAGGCTACTTGTTTTGTTACCAAGCAGACAGAAGGCATTCTAGTAGTTGTTAAATAGTTTCTAGGAAATGGCAGGAGAATTAGAAAACCCTATAGCAATAGCAAGATGACTTCCATTTGTGTGTGTCTGGAGGGAGAGCCCAGTGACTCCGGTTGACAGTACGATCCCCTGGCATGAAGCCTGTTTGCTTCATAGATGTGAACACAATTAACTGATGGAATTTGGTCTCACTTGTAAACCTAATGAGCTGGGCTGATACAGGGATGCCAGTAAATCCCATCAACTTCTCTCAGAGTTACTGAACAGCCACTTCTTCACCTGAATCAGCACAGGTTACACAAGTGCTGTTTGCACCAGCGTCTGAGCACCTTGCCCACTGAAGCTCACACTGTTTCATCTTGGGACACTATGGAAATGCACAACGGAAATACCATAGGGGGCAGCTGAGATTCCTGGGAGACAAAAATAGACCCACCATTAAAAATTAAACTTTTTGCCTTAGTGGAGAACATTCTCAGTATGCTTTGCAATGAAAGAAGATATTACAGGACCATTCATAAAAACTGCAATGCAACGTCCCCTTTCTAAAGGTCACTGGTGGCAAAGTCCACCATGAAGCCAATGAAATTTTGACGTTTATGTCATTTACTTGTCTCTGCTGGCCAGCAAATTCCAAAGTTAAAACACACCAAAAGTCCTGTTTTATGGCAAAACAAAAAATCACAGCACCAGTTTGTGACATGCTATGAAAGAGCAAAGGGATCAGACCTGGTTTAGAGATTATGAAGTGATAAAAGAATGAGAAAAGCACATGGAAATCATGGAAATAACCAAGAGTCCACCATTTTTTTGCATCTGTGGACAACAGCTTGGTAGCTCCAGCAGGTTGTGGGACCTGCAGCACACGCAGGGAAGGACTTGCAGAATTCTTGGAAGATACCATTTATTATTCAGCTGGAAACACAGTTAACACCAGTGGGATTTGATCTCCCTCATAAATGTGAACAATTTTTACTTAGAGCAGTCAAGTGACCACCAGGGCTCCTTCAGCCTGTGGGACTACAGAGTACAGTTTTAAGCAGTTTTATTAACTTTAGTTTAAATCACTTCCAGTGCTGATCCCCCTAAAGATCAAAGCTGTTCCATCATTTATACCTGGCAGGCAGTAAAATCCTTACGTAAATCTGTAAGTCCACTTGTTAAGTTTAACATTCATCACTTAACACCACTTAGCAGCCAGCCAGGGAAGAGTATGCCTGCCAGGCCCAGCCGGTCTAGCTGCAGCTTTGCGACTAGCATCCAGGGCTATGTAAAAGGAGTCAAAGGATTCATCTGATAACTGCTCCTCCAAAAGACACACAGGGGAGATGGCCCTTGGAGAGCACATCTCTGCTCCCCATTTCATCTGTGCCCCCACTGTAACTATGTCTGAATTCCTTCAGTTACTAGGAAATCTCAGAGAGCCACAGAAAACATTTTGTGCCTAATGAGGCCTTCTTGGACCACAGTGTCATCAGACACTACCATGTCCTGCTAATGAGCTTCTCTCTGTGCAGTGTGGAGTTGCACTGAACTGAACTCTCCCCATAGGACGACACTCCATGAACTGGCAGATTAAACTTTCCACTGGACCAGGGACAGTTGCAAGGCACTGGGATGGCATCCAGCTTCAGCTAAGCAGAGTAGGGATTGAGAATATGAATTTAGAACCAGCAACCACCAATGAGGCGTAGGGAGCCATGTGTGCAGCATACACTTGGGGAAGAAGACTGGGGACTAGAGAAAAGCTGATTCCACCTAATGTAGGGCAGGCAGGACACAAAAGGACCATATTCAACCACTAGAAAACAATACAGGAAAACACAGAGGCAGGACCATCATGCCTTTAAGGAAAAAAAAAAAAGTAACAAAAAGGACAGAAAACGGATTTGTCCAACTAATATTTGAAAAAAATGATTTCCCTCCTCAGGTTTAGAAAATACATCCCATGCAGACAAGGATGTTTAGAAGGAGATCCAGCAGCCCCAAGCAGGGGCAGCAGTAGCAAAAAGGCAAATGGCTCATCCCTAAGAGATGACAAGTCTGGAATGCGAACCGTAATAGAGGAAGCAATGAAAAACAAGGATATTTAGATAGTGTAGTGTCAGGAACTACACAAGTTAACAAGAGAAAAACTAGAAGATGGAGAGATGGATATTACCCAGAAGAAAACTGCAACTACCCAACACAACTGTTTCTGTTCCCCTTTGACTGGTACAGGTGCGGAGCCTCTGCTATGCGATGTGCCAAACCATTTCTTTGGGAAACACTTTTCCCTGAAGTTTTCTCCTCTTTTTATTTCTCCCTTTCCCCCTCCTTCTTCTCTACCACTCCCCCCTCCTCCCTCCAGGCAGAGATATGTTTCTCTCAGCTGCTTCTGTGCCTGTGACTTTACTGCATGGGGGAAGTCAGTCCGGAAGGTCACCTCTTTCATCAAGTATTCTATTTGCATCCAAAATTGTATGTACATGAAAAATGTGGTCGTGTGTTGCACCTAGCTGCAGACGCAGATGAAATTCTGTGGAAAGCCTGATGCACACTAACCTTTGCAGATGGTGCAGCTATTGCTGAAAAATGGATTGCTTAATAAAGCATATCATCCGACATATTTGCTGCTTGGCTAGCCAAATAGAAGTTGTTTTTTGCACAAATTTCCTTGTCAAATTTGTCAATGTTCATGTCATTTTTGCTTTAGGTCACAGAGCAAGGTGCAAATTCTTGGCATCTTTACTAGTTGCAAGCCAATTTCGGCTATTTCTAACAATGAAGTGAATTTCTCTGAGGATAAGACACTCACTTTATGGGGAGGAAAGGAAAACAGCAGGAAGTGGATAATTTTTTTTTTCCAGGGTTTTGTTTTTGTTTTTTGTTCTTGCTTTCTCTCTTGTCTTTTTTTCTCTTTCTTTCTGAGGGATAACATTTGCACTCATTTATGGACCTTGTTAATTCATAGTAGAGAGAAAGGTCTTTTAGCCTATTAAATCATTTGCTTAGTTTGACTATTTGGTGCAAGACGCACTCAGATTTTTTGCATTGGTGCACACAAAATTTATCCCTTTGTGCAGGAAATCTTTCAAGAGAATAGAAGATCCGTTTCTTTGGTATTCTCAGATGTGGAAGGCAGCAGATTCTCCCCGTCCAACCATCTGCCAGTAATTTTTTTTAAGCCTCGCAACCTCTTACGCTAAAAGACACCTAATGTATCTGTTTTGTTTGTTTCTCTACCTGCTCTATATCCTTTGCCTTTGCCTATAAACACATCACATTCCCTGCACAGAGGCACATTTTTCAAGCCTATTCCCTTTTGCCTGGGTTTCAGACCTTTTTTCTACATGGTCACTTCCCAGAGGTAGTCATAGCAAGCAGCTCTACTCAGATACAGAAGTGAAAACTGACATTACCATGTTTGCTAAGGTAACAGCCTTGGCTGGGGGAGTGTTTAAAAATGCAGCATGCTTTTACTGCACTGCCATAAGAAAACAGTACCAACCCCTGGCACTGGGGTGCAGTACATCAAGAAGGCTACAGGGAACACGGGCAGCTCATGTAAGCAAACACAGTGCATGTGTGAAAGGGCTGGAGCCCCTTTCAACCCCTTCCTCACGGCATGGCCAAGTCACATCAAAGGAAATGAGAGCACTCCTGGGCCGCAGTGGCCCCTCAGAAGACCAAACCCTACTCCTTCCGTGCTGTTGCAGGCAGTGCTAGCAGCATGCACTTTGGGGTACAGAGCTCCACATCCAGCCATCCATCCCGATATACCACAGTTTTTGCAGTCCTCCTCAAGGAGACCTGCAATTTAAGTGTCATGCAGGGTATTTATTTTGCATTTCCCTTTTTGTTCAGTACCTCAATAAACAGTGCATTTTCCATTTACTAGGAACAGATGCATTCCTCTCTGGGCTGTGCCATATTCCTGCAGTAATCACGTTTCTCTTTGGAGGATTCATTTCTCCCTGAATTCCCACCCCATACAAAGTCCTTTATCAAGCATAACCTTTTCCAAAGATACACCAGTTGCTAAGTGCATCCTCCAGTGATCTATTCCTGTAAAGGAGGACTTTTCTGCAGGACACAGGCATTTGACACAATCCCATTTGCCTCCCAGACAGGCTGCCCCTTCAGAAAGTGCATTATTCTGCAAGGAACATTTTGTTTACAAGGTTTCTGTTGTTAGCAGGTGTATTCCCACTAGTAAGTTTTCCACTGCACCATTTTTTTTAAAGGTCTTGTTTGGTAGCCAGATAGCCGAGACTGCCTGCGATAAAGCCAGCACAAGTGATTAATAGCAAAGTCTCTGCCATTTTATTATTAATAGCAGTGTGTTGACTCAATTAAATCCAGCCTGCTTTTTTTGGCAGGCCTTTGCAATTATACATATCATTATGGGCTGCAGCCCAAATGCATCCTGGGAGTAGACCAGAACTCCACATTAACTTTTTCTGGCTCTCTCTTTGCAGGTTGGCCACTGTAACATGTGGGCTATAACCAATCCAGGCTGCTTCAGGGATGGCAGAATAGAGAAAGAAGGACAAATGGCAGTGGTGAGGATCACACCTAGAAAGGGCATGCTCCCCCACAGCAGTAAAGAGCCTGGCAAGCGCATCCTGAATCCACCCCTCCACACTGAACCCCATAAACACTGTGTGAAGTGTCTGGACAGTACCTGTTACCAGCAGTGGTGATTTTCCAGCACACTGAGGGGAGTATTCAGTAATCCCTTCCAAAACAGACTTGCAGGCAGCTCGGCCTGGCTTGAAGAGGCACTGAACTGAGGTTCAGGCCATTATTTTGAGACAGACTCTGGCAACTCGTGTTTCATGGTGGCAAGAGACTCATCTCCTAGAAAAGCTGGAATATCCCAACTCAAACTACCCCAAAGCATGCTGCAGGCATGCTCTAGCATTGGACACACTGCCCCTACCTTTTGAAACATCCCAACTAGTCTGTTGGGAAAAGCCAGCCATGGGGCTAAGGCATAAGCCTAGGGCAGAGCCAAATTAAGTTTTCAGCACTGATATGGACTCCTTGTGTCATTGCAGGCAAGTCTTTTATTTGTACAAAGTCCTGTGGAATTTTCTGTACCCTCCAAGCTCAAGACATCTGTGAGTCATTTAAATCACTTGTTATTTGGGAGCACTAAGCTTGAGTGCCTAAATGGTCAATGGGGAGATGCAGAGGCAAGGATAGGTTACCTTACCTTGGGTTTTGAAGGAAGACAGATTCTGGGGATCCTGGACAGGTGGTGAAGTGAAGCTCTTGTAGTTTTCTCACAGCCTTTTGTGACAGCACATCCATAAAATGATGTCCTGTTAATCACGAGAAAAAGCTCTTTTTGGACAGGAAGCTCAATAGACTTGTATGTACAGCATCTAGCACAGTGAGAGTCTGATCCAAGTTCTAGGCCTTGCCATCATCCAGGTAACAGATCTTAGATATAAATGCTGGAGGAACAGCCAGGTCTGGCGCCTTGCAAAAGCAGTGTACATTGCCCAGCAGCACTGACCCATCATTGTCCTTTGCAGACTGGGCTTCCTGCAACCTGCTAACCAGAACTGGCAACAGCAGTCATATCCTCTAGCATGCATGCAATCCATGATACCTCTCACTAGGAATGCTGGATTTTAATTCCCAAGCCCACTGCTCTCTACAGCTGCAGATCTTGATTCTATTCTCCAGTGGAGCCTGGAAATATCCCACATTCCTGTAGGTACCCAGGGCTCTTCTTGCAGCATCAGAGGAGATTCCAACAGCCACAGCTGAAGCCTCACAAAAACTAGCAGATCCCATTTCCCATTACCTCAATACAGGGAGCTTTGCAGCTGAAGGCTTTTTCCCGCTTGTGCTACTTCATCTTCCAGAAGCCCATTAAGACAGGAGGGCACACTGTGCTTTCCATCCCAGCTTGGCCTACCTCCATCCATGTCGTCCATCTGGTTTATTTGCTGGCATCAGACAATCCACAGCTGTGGGGCTCTTGCTAATCCAGGGAGGAAGAGTTTAAGTGCTTGGCCTATAATCTCATTCCAGAGCCTGCAATGCCTTTGTGGAAATAATTCTGCTGCCGGACAAGGGAATGCAGAGGAGCTCTACTGTCTGTGTTCCCTTATACAGCTCTCAGCAGTTGCAGCAAAGACTTTGTACCCATTCTCAGCCATTGCTGAAGCTAATGTCTGCAGAGTGGGACTGCAGCACTGAGTATTATGGGTGACAGACCACCTGTGTCCCACAGATCTATAGGTGTAACAGATCTGTGGAGGTCCTCAAGGGAAGTTCTCATCAGTCTGTGCAGATGCTTAGCTCCATAAGCCTCAGACAAGGAACAGTCTACTTGGCACCCACATGTGAGCTTTGCCTTGTGAAGGCGGATACGCACTGCCATTTCTACAAACGCAGCTGGTGAGTGGCTTCCCACCATCACCTCCCTTACTTCATACAGGATGGGATGGGTGCACACGTAGCAGCAGAGAAGAGGGGACTAGGAGGATTAATGGAGATATTCAGGGGTTTTGTACAAACTGTGTTTCCTCCCAGACAAAAGAGGCTGCAGATCCTTGGCTGTGGCTTACAGGAGTGCCTCTCCTAGCCCACAGCTAATAAACCAGAATGGTTATTACCTCAGTGAGTAAGTCTGCTTTCCTCTGAGACTTCCTTAACCACAGGATGAGGGACCACCAGATTGGAGTTGATCAGACATTTGCAAGGGCTGTTCCTGCCATCACAGGATCAGTTAGTGGGAACTGAGCTGTTATTCCTTCTCTTATCAGTTACGGCAGGAGCTTCCTTGCCTTGTGGCTGAGGCTGCATTGTACCAATGACTCAGAACATAACTAAACCATGTAAAATGTCATCCTGCGTTTGCCATTAATAAGCTCTCAATTAATAATACAAATTTCCAAGAATACCCCAAGCCTGAAACTCAGCGCTGTGCTGCCTAGCAGAGCCAATCAGGGCGTCCTCAGAGTCAAGCCACAATTAAGTAGCTTTGCTTTCTAGGGAAGATCACTCCTTGCTGCTGCAGTTGGAAAAGTCCAACCCCAGCACATGTACAGAGCATGCTGCCCCACATGGGATTAGAATTCCTGTGAGTCAGAGGATCCCAGGAAAGCTTTCAGACTCCAGTGAAATGGGTTTACTTTTAAATATCACCAGACCTGATTCTGCTCACTTGCAGGTGTAAGTTACCCACTGAAGTACATGGGGCTGATCAACTGCAAAAGCAGGAAGACAAGAGCTGGAGCTATGTTTAGGAGGGCCATAGTCAAAATCAAATGCACCAAAATCAAAATGACAGGTATTATTGCAATGTCAGCTGACCCCAGATTTTTCAACACATATGCAGTGTTTCAATAATCAGTGTGTACACATGAACTTTTTCCGCAGTTCTCAGCACGAGTACACAGGAAACCATGGGCAGATTTAGGCTTGCATCAAACGCATCAACCTTTCTGAAGGCAGATCTAAAAAGCATGGGGACACAGCCTAGGCCATGTGTGTGTTTCTTACAGACATAAGGGCAAAGACAAGGAAAGCATGGCCACCTACCCACTCCCAGCACCCTCTGCTCCTGCACACAGCTAATCTTACCTGGAGGAAAATACCCCTCTCTCTGGTATGCAGAAAGTATCCCCAAGGACACCCTCTCTCACAGACTCACAGAGCAAGGCATCTTCCTTATTTCTGCATCATTCATGTGACTCCCTCTCTGTGCCTACAGTAATATCCAATCTCTTGTTGTCTGTACATATCTATGTCGGCCACACACACACCCTCTCAGTAAGCAGGCATGCAGACAGCCGTGCTTACAAACACACACACCACCCCCAGGAGGAGCTCCAGGTATTGAGAGGTAATCCTCCCTGCTCAGAGAGACTGGTGAATGGAATAATTAATTTTCTGACAAGCATGAATACCACGCAAAGGCAGCCACCCGGATACGGTGGAACATTTCCAGCCAATATCCGTGCGATCTGGATATTTGGATTCACCCATCCCCAGCTTCTGCTCTCAGTAGTGCTGACAGCAGCAAAGCTGAGCTTGCTGCTCTGACTGGGAAGGCCTCCCGTATCTGGCTGGCTAGTAGAAGACAGATGAACTACTGTGCATAGCCTTCTCCTCCTTACCACCAAAGACAGAGAGACCTTGCCAGCTCCCATCCCTCACCTACTCCTCCCACATGAAATTAATTGCCCCCTAACTCCCACCCCCCACTCTTGTCTCTGGGGCAGGGAGAGAATTCCACAAGCAGCATCAGTCAGCTCAAACCCGACAGTCCTCCCTGGTGGAGAATTAAGGACAAGTCCATGATGCAAGGACACCAATTCTCCAGGCTACAAATGAAACTTTATCACCCCTAATCTCCTGTCCTGGCTTAAGTTAACTTGTTCTCCTCCATCTTACATAGAAGGGTTAATATGTTTGTGGAGAGCAACTACAGATCCTAATCCTAAGGGACGAAGAAAGGGGGAGCTTAAAGAAGGACAGGATACGAGGCAGAACAGTTCTCTTAGTGGCTCCAATTGCCAGAGGATTCCTGGTTACAGAGCTATGATGCTCCTAAAGGCTCAGATATACATCTGCTTGCTTCCATGCAAATGTTCATCCAGTGTTGCTTTAGCATAATTGACCAGTCTTGACAGAAATGGGAAGAATGATCTTACCATGCTGGATATCTGAGCCTCATTCCCAGCTCTGCCTTCAGCTTTGCATGTGATCAGGGACAAGTCACCTCTGTTCCACAGCTTTAAGACTAACACAGAAATACTTGGCTTGACTGTTTTGCCTGTAAGCTCCTCAGATCACAAGCTCATCAACAACTCTGGTCAAGAGCTAGACCAAGACAGTGCTAGTTGCCTTATAATAAAAAGTTCCCTTATGGTTGTAGAAAAGCACAAGCATGTGTGGCTAGACATTTGCAGGTATGGTCACTTGCACACTGCCCAGGATACATCTGTGTATCTATGCTCCTTTCACGGTGCCATATATGTCACATCAGCAGTCTCTGCACATATCCCACCTCTTAAGTGCTTTCAGCTTGGGATTCACATCAGGGAAGATAATACTGGCACAACTCTTCTGAGAAGAACTGAGGCCAGGGACTTGACTGTATACTCTTAGACAGGAATTTGCTGACGATTTTTAGAAGAGTTCAAGTCTGAGCCAAACTTCAATGTGATAAAGTCAACTTTCCATTGTGTAGGTTGGGTTCTATTAACCTGCTGGTTCCAATCCTTCCCAGTACACTTGGATCTTTGAATTTTTTCATCTGCAGTCATGACCCTTAGAAACACTGCTTGGCTTTTACTGGGAACTGGCAAATTACACACTCTTTTGTGTGTATGAGAAATCTCTTAATCTGCTTCTTTTCTCTAAGAGAATATAGGAAAAGAACCCAGGGGAATTATCTTACTGTAAAATTAAGGCTTACAAGTAAAAGCAGAGTCATGAAAAGCTTTAAAGCTAAAAGTCATGCTTAGCTTGATTTTTCAGCTCCTGGAGCTGTCACCCATCCACAAGAGCTCAGTATGTCACTATTTATATTTGCCAATAGGTCCCACAAAAGAGAGAAGGTATTGTTGTGTAAGTCATTGCCCCAGTCCAGAGTACATTGGGAAATTCCCATGAATATATACAATACAGAAGGAAACAGACATCCAAATATTTGCCTAGTAAATAATATACCTAAGCTTTTCAAAGAGTGACATATCAAAGCAATGAGGGATTAGTCAAAACCCTGGATTAGATATGGGTTCAAACTCTGCTCTCCTCAGGCTAACATTGACTTCCCAGCCTTATGAGCTGGGCTGAAGCCCAAGACCCTGGGATTCAAACAACCAAATAAATAAAGAAAAAGGAAAAAAAACAGCCCACAGGTGGAGTTTTCAAGAGTAGCAAGAGGGCTTGGGAGTGCAGGACAGGGAGATGTGTGTTCCTAAGTCCCTCCACTCCTTTGAAAGGAAGGCTCCTAGCCCTAGGAGTAAAATAAAAGTCAGGAGATATATATGGCTGCTAGGCTAATGAAGCTTAATTTTTTCCAGCTCCCATTTATTCTTTGGTTTCACTGCAGAGCATTGATTTCTCATTCCTGCACCTTTTAGATACGCATATAAACAGGCACATACATTTCATATATTGGCAAATGTATATACACAGAGCTAGGCATGGGAGTATGTTTATACATGTAAAGCAACTGGGTATTTACAAGCTGTTTCTAAGGTTATAATATACTTTGCTATTATGAACTGCTTCATTAACCTGTCAATCAGGTTACTTTCTCTCTTTCACCCCTCTTCCATGTTACTCTGTGTGCTGGAAGTGAAGCATGTGTGTTTGTGTCAAGTGTATTATTTCAGACAGTACAGACACACAGACACACATGGATGCAAGCCCAGGAATTAATATGGTTTCATTGCTCCCTCTCCAGAAGCTTGGCTCTGGCCTACCCTCTGGACTTGACTAGCCATGGAGATGCCTCATGCAGTCATTTATCACCCAGCCCCTAGCCAGTGGCACCGGGGTCCCGGCACTCCTTCCCCAGGCAGCCTGGCTGCTGCACAGGAGGAGGGGCCTGTCTTGCAGCATGTTTGCAGTTTGGAAGCACTGCTGATGGGCTAGTCCCCAATAAACCCCCCAAAAGTGCTGATGTGCTGAAAGCAGCTGACACTGATGGATCTGCTCTCATCTTGCCTTTCAGTCCCACTGCAAGAGAGAAGAGAGAGAGGAAGAGAAACAAAGGCAGAGATTAACTCTTTTGTCACAGAGCTCTGCAGTTTTACAAGGCAAGATAAAGCTGCTCTTCAGGTTGGGTGCAGATGGGACCAGCTCAGCACAGTCTGGCTGATTCTGTATGGAGTCAAATCCGGGGGGGTGGGGGAAACAAAAAAAAAAACAAAACCAAAAAACCAAAAAGCCTGAACTGCACAATTATTTACTGACAGGGCCAGTGCTGCCTAACTGAGCCTTGTAACTTTCCCTGTGGTTGCAACCACAGCCAGGAATACCAGGAGGGATGCTCGAGTATGGTCCTGGGCAACTGGCTCTGGGTGGCCCTGCTTGAGCAGGGGGGTTGGACAAGAAGTCCCCCTTCCCACATCAACCATTCTGTGATACTATGAGTCTCCCAGATCTGCATGCCAGCTACTAAACCAACAACACTGCTTGCACCCACACTGCTTAAGCACACATATCAGAGGTATACACAGACAAACCCACCCAGACTGATTAACACATGCAAATGCAGACCCTCGAGGCGTGACACACACTGCTCAGCCAGTAAGACATGCTCCCGTGGATGCAGGCTTAATAAACACAGACATCGAGGTAGATCCTGTTCTTCATACATTCCTGTGTCTGAAATCACAGAGTGGATTTTGCTTGCCCATGATGCCAGGCATCAGACTCCCCAAACCAGAGCTCAAGCTGTCATTTTGATACCCCTCACTAGAGCCAGTCAGAATGGTTCATTCACTTAAACTAAGTTTTACCAAAACTGGCCTATTTGGGCAACCGGATCCATCTGGATCAAGTTTTCCTTGGGAATACCATTGTTCCAAGAGGCTCAGATATGAACCGTCAGCCTGCATTTTGATGTCATTCAGCTACATAAGAAGCATTTTGAAGCTTCCCTCCTTCTCTCGCTGTGCTGGAAAGAAACTTCATTGTGAAAGTCATTCAGCAGCTGCCAAGAAGCAGGACTGTCACCTTCCAGATCTCCTCTCTGTGAAGGACTAACACCATATCCACATGGATGTGCCTTTTCCCCATATGGTCACATACAGTGTTCAATGCAAACACAGCTAGAGGTTCACCCCATCTTTTTCAGTGCCTTTGCACAGCTGTATTTAGCACTGACAATGTCACAGGTACAGCAGGACCCCAGTTTCTCACATACCCAACTAAGATCAAATGCCCTCAGAAGGGCAGACTGTTCTACATTAAGCCTAAGTGCACAAGCAGATACCTGTATTAGTATTAACAAAAGGGAAACAAGAATAATACTAGTGCTAATTCTAGTTAATAAAAATGTTAAGAAACTTTCTTGCTCCTGTAAAAAAATCTCATTTCACTTGTAACTTTGATTTCCTTGATTGGAGAGAAGAAGAGGGATACTTTTTCTAGGTTGTTCTTAAAAAAAAAAAGATCCTAAATCCAACCTGAAAACTTAATCATTTTCCAGTTTCAACAGAAACTTCCAAATGCCATCTTTCAGAAAGAAAAGTTCAGATTTTTAATCAACAAAAAGAGAGACACCCTATGTCACAAGAACATCATTTCCCAGTGGAAAATGCTCCTGAGCTCCAACACTGCACAGCTTTAATTTTTGCCTGGATTTTTCAAGCCCTGTTTGTCCTGCATTTGTGTTGCACAGTTCACAAGTATTCCCAGCAGCTTCAGACAAACCAGCCATGGGGTAAAGTACAAATTCATATGAATGAAGGGGGCAGGAGCCAGCCCCTGCTGAATGTTGGGGTTGTTCTAGGGTTACTGTCAGGACTGGGGTCATCTAGTGCCAAACCTGATGCAGCTTCACAAACGCATAGAAAGGACCTGTCAGATCTGCAATCCACCCATCATAAAGCACATCAATAAAGATAAGTACGTTACACTTGGACATGGACACACTCCAAAACACAGACACATCACCACAGCAAAGCGCCTGCTCACACATACACTCTGCTGAGGATACAGTCCCTCCTGAAACACAAACAAGATCTGCAAGCCAACAAACAGAAAATGGGGGGGATTGAGGACAAAGTCGTGAGGTTTTTTAATTTATTTTTTTAATTCCTAGAGAAAAAAAAAAAAAGCCTTTTAATTATTTTTAAGCAATTTTTCTGAGAAAATCGACACGCTTTTTGCAACATATTTTCAGGTTTTGCCTATTGCCCCACGTTTCCTTTTAATGGCAAATTCTAAATGCTGAGTTAGACTCCCAGAATCTAAAAGGGCCTTGCAGAACACTGCTCTCATCTAAGGGGTAATTTAAAATGAAACCTGAAGTAGAAATCTGCTCTAAAGCCTGAAAACAAGTTTGAAATTTCAAAGTTTCCCACCCCACACAAATAACAAAAATAATGTCACCGTGTCAAATACAGACAGTCTAGGAAACAAACCACCAAGGAATTATCGATCATCTCTTCACATGTCCTTAATAAAATCTTGGTCTAAAAATCTATCCACAATATGCCATCTGCCACACACTGAGATGAAATATGGTGTATGCTCTTGGCATCTAACGTTCTGATGAACCATTTGTGAAATCTCTGTGGAATTTCACATTCTCAGTAACACACTTTTCTAGGGGACTGATTTTCAACTTTATCTGTGGGCTCTTAAAATATAAAGTAAAAAAGATCAGCATCTGAAGGGCTTAAAAACCTGTCTGTAGATAGTTGTACAGCTGGTTTGAACTTGCCTTTCTCAGTTACTTTTGTAGACTCACTTAGGAATAGTCGAAAATCCCCAGGGGGTCCTGTGCACCCTGAAACCAATATTTGCTGCTGTAAGGAAGGTCTGTAAACACCTCTGAACAAAACCTGTCTCCCTCTCCATCTCAAAGTGCTGACAGCACTAAGAGGTGCTTAAGTAGGACACTTGAGCAACCGCCTGCTTTCAAGCACCTGAGGAGTGCTGGTGAAACAGTGAATTCCTCATGTGCTGCAGGTCAGGCATGTGCGTAAGCTGTGGAGAAGTGGAGCCCTAAGTAGGCACCACAAAGCTGCTCCCACGAGCAAGTGCCACACAGCCGCCAGAGCCCCACACCCTGGGAGAGCACCTGGATAGGAGAGGACTTAGCTCCGCAGCCCATGCACCCACATCAGCACCCTCCACTCCCAGCGAGACCACAAGGGCCCATTTATTCCAAGATATGAAATTTGTGTTGTTTCTTTATTGTGCTTTAATGAAACCCTGTTTATTCTAGGCTTTTAATTCTTTCCATCTATTATGTTTAGACAACTCATTAACAATCATTTGTTATCATTAGACTTCAATTTTAAGCTCCTTTTCCCAGAGGAGGCAATGCGGTGCTTTTAAACATATTTGCATCATAAACAATTTCAGGGCCCCGTGTGCCATCTATTACCATGGCCTTTCCTCACTTCTTACCAGCCCTTCTTACCCAGGCTGGAAGGTGCTGAAAGAGCTTTGCTGGGATTTTGTCTGGGTCCAGGGTAATGCACGTTTTTCCCCAGGCCTCAAGCCATGGAGGGCTCTGCATTAGGACAGCAGCCCAGTGCATTAATAGCAAACTCTTGAAATCCCAGGTCATGTAATGGTGAGCTGCTCTTTCCACTGGGATTAATGGCTACATGCTGCAGCTGAATTCATTAGGGCCTGCTAAAGATAGCATGCTAGCCCGGGATAATGTGTGGGCTTCATTCTGCTCATTTATGGTTGTTCAGCTCCACCGGATTTAGTGAAGTCATTCCTGATATGCAGCAGGGTCTCTCGTGTGCATGCCAGATAAGCACTACGTCACACTTTGCATTCATTGACAGCTCCCAGTGGGCAAAAATCTGATCCCTGTTAGGTCATGTAAATCCAGATCAACATTCACTGAGGTTGCAAAGCATCCTTTGGATAGGAAGTGGCATCAGCATGCATTGAGTGTGGTTTGCATGATGAAACTTGCTCTGATAGAAAGGAAGTCCTTTACGTTGTATAGAAAGCAGGAAAAGAGTTGCCTTTTTCCTCCCGTTTATTCTGTTTTGTTTGGTTCTGTATCCATCATACGCTGCACATCACCAACCCCAACCAGTAAAATACAGCAGAAAAAAGAAATCCCTAACCTGGAATATCTTACGTATGTTTTGATCTCCAGAATCCCATTCCAAATCATGCTCAAAAAATGTTGCATGTGCCAGCCATATCCCCTCTTTCCCACATCCCAGTGAGCAACCCAATGACACATCTGTTTAGAAGAAGTGTATATCTTATTAGTAGCATTGCTAGATCGTATCTGTCAGTGCCAAGTCCTTTGCTGGTGCTAATGCATTGTCATTGTTGCCTTGCTACACTGGGATTTGGCTTTTAAAGCTCATCTGGTGGTACTACCCCATGTCCAGTAACATTACAAGAATGCACATTTTGGAGCTATTGTGTTTCAGTACGGCCCCAGCACTTCTGAATGGCAGTCCAAAAGAAAACTGCTGCCCAAAGGCCTCAGTTCTGCATAGCCTGTGCCCAACTTTAAAGATTTGGAGGCCATTCAAAGGCATTTCATTTGTCCAAAAGCCCCTTCACACCACCAAATGCGAAGGAGGTATTGCATGCAGTCAAATTTTGCTGGCTAGAGTGCACATGCAGAGGAAGAGCAAGCTGTGCCACCACACCTATTATAGCTTTCTGTGTGGATGTCTGTAGCTTAAACAAAGATGAAAAAGCTCTATACATGATATTGAGAAGTGTTCATGGAGATTTTACACCTGTGATGAACTCTACAACCTGTGCTAGAGATAATGATGATACCAGCTGCAAGACTCCGCCCTGCTTGCTAAGTAAATTCCTGTAATTTTCTATGCTTCCTGTTGTTATTTTGATCCAATTAAAGACATTGCAGTTAAGTGAAAAGTCATGATTGGCTAATTGGATTTAGGAAGGCAGAAGACCCATCAGGGGCCAGGTTTAATTTAGGTTGCCTTAGAATTTCTAAAGCCACTGGCAGACTAGAAGAGGTAAGCTCCATCCTTGGCTACATCCAGCTTGGAGAAAAGGGATTAGTTAGTTTTTCAGTGAGCTCCCTGCTGCCTTGCATCCACTGAGCTTTCCCATTCCAATGCCTGCATCTGAATCTCTCTTTTTTGGGAATCTGCCTCCTGCAATGGTCCTTTACAGACCTCCCACATGCGCTTGCTAAGTCTCTTGTCCCCAGTCTGGTCATGCACCATTCACCGCTTCTCCTGCTTTCTCTAAATATCTGTGCAGTTCCCTCCCCAAAAACATGTGTTCCCATGGTTTTGAAGGCACTTTTGTGCAAGTCACATACATGACTGGACCTGCACTCCCGGATGTGGGATGGGACTCAAACTCCTTTGAAGTCAAGTGGAAGTTTTACACTCTGGTTGAAGAGATTCAGCACGTAGAGAGCTCCAAACACTTCTTCACACTCCAAGGGGTCAACTCCTTCCAGGTGCCCTAGATGCAGACCCCTGGGGCTCCAAATCATGCAGTGAGGTGGATACAATAAAAGATCGGTTTCCATGGGTATTTGGAAGTGACCCGAAGCCTATGGGTGGTATTTCCAACATAAGAAGTTAAAATATGGTGTGCCATATGTGCTAAAACCAGAAGGTTCAGTGAAAGTCATTACAATACTTTGTAATATCATAGATCCTGAGTTCCTTCTTTAAGCTTCTTGATTTGGTTGACAATTTTAAGGTTCTCAGGCTATTTAATCTGATTTAATGCCCACCTTGCACATAGAAACATCGAAAAGGTAACAAAATGAAAGCACAGCTGACATTGTCATATGCTTACCTGATTCAAAGGAGCAAGGAGTTTCAGAAACTCAATAGTTTTCATGAAACATGCAAGAAAAACTGAAGAGTTACTAACACTACCATCTAAATGTACAATGAGCCACTTGCATGAGAGCAGTAACAATCAAGAAATGCATCCTAACAAACATTAACAAGAGTAAACAATAGTTGCAATAGAATCCAACTAAAGGATGCTTTCAAAATACTTTTATGATTTTTGGCTTGGCTTTTTTTTTCTTTTTTTCCTTTTTCCTTTTTAAGATCATGTCTGAGCATTTAGAAAACCTCAGGATTTTCCAATCTTGCACTGAAAACACAAGACTTTCAAGATCTCTGGGCATGTTAAGAAGCCTGGCTATTAATAATTGTAAATATCTGCAGCATTCAATAGTGAGGAAAAGAATCACTTAAACCATTACCTGGCATACTTCTGTTCCTATCGAACTAGGAAAGACAAAGAGGATCAGCTAATGCAACAGATACCTCCTACATGTCCCTTTTTTTTTTTTTAAAGAAATCATTATTTTTATTTTGGTTGACAACTGCAGTGGAAATATACTCCCTGGCCCACCATTTCTAACCCCTCTGAGGATTTTTCAAGGCTTATTTCCACTGAGTCCTTTTTGCAAGCCTGACCCTTCCCCCCCAAGGATGTTTCTACCCCAAAATCTTTAACATCATTGCTACTTTTACACAAATGTCTAACACATGCTTCCATCCCTACAGTCTTGTCAGTATTGGACCAGAAGCCAGAAATTGCCAGGACCCAAGTCCCCAGCACCTCCTGATCTTGGCATTGACTGCCTTTCAGAACTGGGCCCCTGAGGCTTCACAGTTGGCTCTTGAAAACCAAAAGGGCCCCTCCTTAAAAATCACAGTCCGTGCAAGTTTGTGTCTTCCATGAAAATTAACATGCTGGACAGCAGATGGGACAAACACATGCTAGAGGCCAGATCCTTATGTTGGTTACACCAGTATCATTTGCAAACTTGAGAGAACAAGGGCAAACAACAGAACTAGAGCAATTTACATGAGCAGTAGGTCTACCCTCCTGCTGGCTGACTGGATTTTCAGGCAGGGGCAGAGAGGGAAGAAAAGAAATAAATACCTTTATATAAAATTCCAACCCACAACAAAGCTTTCCTAAGAGGACCACGGTGTGGCATTTCATAACCAATCCAGGTGCTGTAAAAAATAAACAAAGAACACCACACCACCATACCACTCTGCCAAGCAACAGGCTCCACAACTGCCTTCAACAGGCTCCACAACTGCCTTTGGAAATCCATACTGTCCCCAGGAATACAGATATGACTTAATTTTCCCTTCTCTGCTCCCAGTGTCTGATTTATGCCACCTAAAAATACCTACTTATGGTGAAAATAATCATGGTGCAATCTTATGGAAGTTTCCAGCAGCATCCGGCAAAAGAGCAATGCCCACAGTGTTCGAACAGAGCACAAAATAATGATGTGTGATGTTTTGCAAATAAAGTGTTTCCTCTTTGAAAAGCCTTGACTTCTTTGCATGGAAGACCCAGATCCTGGACCAATATTCTCCCTAGTCCCCAGCTGTCCTCTTTATTCTTGGCTTCATTTATTTGGGGTCACTAGTTTCATCTTACCATTTCTCTTTCCTACATTTTGTCTGGGCACCCTCAAGGCCAGAAGGACCATGCAACTTTGTGGTTCTGCCTGAGTCCTCCTTTCCTCCTGAAGTTTTCACACATCCCTCTCTTTGGAATACAATGGCTTCAGTTCCTTCCACTCAAGTTATATGTAAACACTGTCCATTTATTCCTTTGTGCTTGCCAAAGGGACATTGGCACTTAATGTCCTGAGGAAGGTGTGAAAATGCCATCTGTGAAAATGCCAGGTGTGAAGATGACAGTAGGAGCAGCAGGGATTGTTTGTCTAGATAGTCAGACCTGAGAGACTGTCTTGGATTTCTGATAACAGTGAATTCAGAATAAGCACATCTGCTTTTGGATCCTCCAGCAAGTGTAACACAAAGATTTCTGTGCTCCCAGGTCAAATGTGTCTCCTTCATGGACAGGCTCTCTGGACACATCTGGCATGTTATCAAAGTAATTTCCATTGAGCTTGATCCAGTGTTCATCAAAGTCAATAGTGACATTTCCTGGGTCATGCCAGAGGTCCAGTAATGCTCCATACTTTCCCATATGTAATCATTTAATTACCTCCCACTAATTACTTCTGCAGGGTGTTCAACTGCAACACCTCTTCCTGATGCTCCCTGGATCAAGCTTTTGCCCAGGAGAAGGGGTCTGGGCTGACCCATGTTATAGGAAGTGTTCTGCAGGCCCCTCATTGACCCACAAGAGACTCAGCAGTGAGCAATGGGAAAACATACTATTATTACTTCTCTTGATTCAGGATCCATTTTCTGAAAGACTCTCTGAAGCAGGAAACTGATCACATCTACACGTACATTCACGAATGCCTTTACGTATGTCCAAAGACAACCGACCCCAAAGGTCAAAGAGGACTGCTGCTCTCAAAAACAATAAAGCTCTCAGCTCAACTTCAAGGAGGAGGCAAAAGCAAACTATCAGAGAGAGCAAGAAAGCAAGAGAGACAGAGATAAAGAGAAAAAACCAAGGGGAAGATGATTTTCTATCAACAAAACAGCAGGGACAAATTCTAGTTCATCTCGTGCAAACACCGCCTGGAGCCAGCACTAATCTCCCAGATTAAAGCCTTTTAATAGCAATTAGTCCTCTCTGCACTAACCCACTGGACACTCCACTGCATATTTGGGAAAGGGGGGAGGCTGGAGGGAGTGTCACCAATAGTTTAACTCATAAGTGCCCTGATGTGTCTAAATGTTTGTCTTCCGCGTGCACTTTTGCACACAGACTGAGATACTGTGGCAGTTTGGATTGCAGGATTTTGCAGTCCTGTTTGGATTGCAGTGGGGAATGGGAATACAACAGCTAGATCTTGGTGTTGCATGTGTAAATACTTGGGTGAGTCCAATCAAACCCAGATCCAGGAGGTGGAATTTCAGAATGGCATCATGGCAAGCCATCATCAACCATCTACAGTCAGAAGCACTGACCTACCCCCAGTTCCAAGGGCTATCCCAGCTGGCAACAAGAGACAGCCGCAGGCCGCAAGATGTCCTTAGACCTACCTTCATGCTACCAGCCTGCTGAAGCAGCCTTGGTACTGGTCTTCCCAAGTGCAGACTTGTTACTACTCTTCCCTTCCACCATCCCTAGAGAAAAGGAGGAAGGGAGATTTTTGTTTTAAAAATTGATTTTCACTGGTTTATCTCTATATCCCACCCAAGGCCTTGTGTAACCTCTCTGTGAGTGTTTACAGGAAGCATGAGCCTGTGCCCCATCTGGATCTGGCAGAGGGAGAAGATCCAACCTCCTGCACAGGATGGGAGGGAGCCAGACTGCTACACTAGGAAACACAGGTCCTACAAAAAGGACCTCAGATTGCATATCAGCCCCCATTCATAAACAGAGCAGCTTGGCTGAAATGGCTGAGAGGGGGAAGACGAAAGTAGAGGACACTGGTGCAAAACAGCATTCTCTGCACAGAGACTCTGAACTTCCCAAATGACAAGCCAAGCAGAATTTCTTGGAAGGAGCCACATTATCTGCCCTTCGAGCTATTAGACCACACAAACAGGACAGAGAAAAACCTTCCATGAGGTGACTGTAGGGAGGGGAGGGGAAACTACCCTGAGCTATTAATATCCTCTCCCCTACAAGCAGTGGGAGCTGCCAGAACCCCTGCACAACCCAGTGGTGCCCCCCACCCTCTAACACACACACACACACAACATCCATAGGGGTAGTGCAATTACTATTCAGGCTGGGGGCTGAAGATAGTCTCCTGGCCCTTCTTCTAATGTAAGGTTATTGTAATTGATATGAAGGTAATTGATAATGTGTTACGGTGAATAATGTCTTCAATTTTCTGCTAAATCCCATTTTTGTAGCCATCTGGGCTCCTCCAACTGCCCCCCTGGGATGCAGAGTAATAGATAGTAATTATTCTCAAGTCATTTACTTTTTCAAAGTGTTTAGTGCTTATCTGTTTTACAATTAAAATGGAAACGACCCTGATTCACTTCCTTTCTTTTTTATTTAAATAGCATTCACACACACACACACTCTCCTACATGCACTGGAGCCTGGAGGGTGTGTGCCTGTGTGTGAGAGAGCATGTGTGCATGCACATTATTGTCATACAGAGCCACACAGGACAGAGGTGTGTAGTTCACTATGCACCTTCACTCTGAGGCACTGTGAGAGTACAATCACACAACACTGAGAAATACAAATTGTGTTTCGGACCCCGCTCATCCCCATGGTGACGTTCAGAGTGAATGCCTCAGAACACCCCACAGAAACACCCTGGGGATGCACCCAGCACACAACAGAACAATGCAACCCCTCACAACATACCCCAGAAATGCACCGCTAGATACACTTACCTCACCTAGTTCTGGGGACCAGACATTCCCACAGGATTAGCCTGATGCAAGTGCATCAAAGTGACAGCATTTCAACCCAATACTGGTGATCTGTATAAAGATAAAACTGTAAGTTTTAACAAGAGATACATTTATACCCAGAATACATTTAGGCATATAAATGCAGAGAGCCATACAGTAGAAACCAGAATATACATGTAAATTAGCTAATATAAGCTATTAAATGCACCACCAATGCAAAGCATACCTTGCACAGCAGCTAAACCTATTTCAGTATATGATCCAAACCTCCCCAGTGTTAGCAGAACCCCTTCAGGTTCTGCCTCAGCTTGTGGTATGCCAGGTGATACGTAAACAAGCATATCCATGATGTTCACGGGGAGACACCATGCTAGGTTTAAGGATTACTGTAACAGTTGTAGCCTAAGCCTTGGTAACCAATGCACAGGAACATCTGCAGCTGCGAACTACCTCAGTGAAATTCTTAGCAAAGAGGGCTAATAGGAAAATGGT